AGAGAATGATCAGGTCACAGATCACCAGTGGGTTCGCGCCAAACATGGTCGTCGCTACGGGAGAGGCGGATTCAGAATACGAACGAATAAAAAAGTGCTCGAATCGAATTACTGGTCTCTCTCTATGCTCACTCGTGTACTATCGCTTTTCACTCTCTGCTTCGTTCCTCTCTCATATCGCTCTCTTCGCTCTCTCTCTCTCTCTCTCTCTCTCTCTCTCTCTCTCTCTCTCTCTAGCTCATCTCTCTCTCTCTCTCTCTCTTCGCTCTTCTCTCTCTCTCCTCTCTATCTCCTCCTCTCTCCTCTCGTTCTCCTCTCTCTATCGTTCTCATCTCTCTTGTCTCTCTCGTTTTATCACACTCTCCTTTTGCATGCTTTATTTGTCCACATTCCGACTGAGAAAAAGGTTTTACGAATTTGTTATTAGCCATTCATGAGAGACCTCTTAAAGTGTGGCAGGGAAACGAAAAATAGAAGGGTAGGTGCCAAGTTCTATAAGAAGGGCGAGGAGCAAGAATGCGAGAAAGAGGATTATATATATATAATATTAGAGAAGAGACTGAGAGAGAGCGAGATAAAGGGAGATAAGACGAGAGAGAGAGAGAGAGCGATGAGACGAGGAGATGAGACGAGATAAGAGGAAAGAGTAGAGAGAGAGAAAGAGAGAGATGCAGAGGCAGAGGCAGAGGCAGAGGTGGGGGTGGGGGGAGTCAGCACGCAGACATGGCCCGAGTTTTCCTCACCTTATACACCCTTGGCTGCTTCAGGCGCCCCCTTGCGGACGAAGACAGACCCTAGCAAGGTGAAGGCCTACGGTCCAGGCATCGAGCCCAAGGGAAACCACTCCATGGCTACCACCAAGTTCACCGTCGAGACGTTCGCCGCCGGCGCGGGCAAGATCACCGTCACCATCACCAACCCCAGTGGCAAGGCAGAGCCGGTGAGTCGAGCGGCAGTCTACGGAGCTGAGCGGGTTCTCCTTCTGTCATCGCCGTGTCCAGTCGACGTAGTTGTCCTTCTCCTTACCCGCTCCCCCGCTTCCCCTGCCTTCAGGGGAAGGCAGGGAAGGCAGGGAAGGCAGGGGAAGCGGGGAAGGCAGGGAAGGCAGGGAAGGCAGGGAAGGCAGGGCCTTCCCTGCCTTTCCTGCCTTCCTCTCTCTTGTGCTTCCCCTTCTCTCTCTGCTTTCTTGCTCTCCTGCTCCCTCTACCTTACCTACTCCTCCACCTCCTTTCCCTCCGTGCCTCCCTGCTCCCCTCCTTCCCTGCTCTAGTTATCATCTGTATTCCTGATCTGTTCTAGTTATGTGTTTGCACATCTTTGCTCTGTCTGGCATTCTCTGCCCACGTTTTTTTAGTGTCATACTTGTATTCATCCTCCAGTTTCACCCTCCCCTCCCCCTGCTCACAGTTTCACCCTCCCCTCCCCCTGCTCACAGTTTCACCCTCCCCTCCCCCTGCTCACGTTTTACGGTTGCCTTCAGCTAGTCTAAACATGTGCTATATATACATAGGTGTCTAGCCAGCCTCAATTTTTCTGTATTTGATACGGTGGCGAGAGGGTTTGTAGGGTGTCTTGTAGCAGGATTGTACTTTATTATTATTATTATTATATTTTATATTTTATTTTATTATCGAGGTTTATACCTTGCAGTTCTGTAGCAGCATTAGACTGTATCTGCAGCTCTCATCTCAGCTCTCCCATCCTCCGCATCCTTCATCCTC